TACTTTCTTTCTATACCCATTTTATTGAGTGTTTTAATCACAAATGGATATTGTATTTTGTCAAATGCCTTTTCTGCACCTATTGGTATACTCATATGATTTTTACCCTTTATTTTGTTCATGTGGTATACCACATTCATTTGCATATGTTGAACCAGACTCATGTCCTGGAATGAACCCCACTTGATTGTGATGTATTATCTTTTTAATGCGTTGTTGTATTCGATGTGCTGGAGTTTTGTTTAGGATTTTTGTATCTATGTTCATCAGAGGCATTGGCCTGTAATTTTTTTGTGTTGTCCTTGCCTGGGTAATGGCCTTGTAAAATGAGTTAGGAAGTGTTCCCCTCTTTTCGATTTTTTGGAAAAGTTTGAGAAGCATAGGTATTAGATCTTTGAATGTTTGATAGAATTCACCAGTTGAAGCCATCTAGTCCTGGGCTTATGTTTTTTTGGGGGGTGCTTTTTAATCACTCTGTCACTTTCCTTACTAGTGACCAGTCTACTTAGGTTTTCCAGTCCATGGTTTAGTCTAGGAAGGTTATATAGATCTAAGAATTTGTCTTTCTTCTAGGCTATCGAATTTGGTGGCATACAGTCTTTCATAGTATTCTTATTTAGCCCTTTGTATTTCTGTGGTGTCCACTGTAACTTCTCTTTGATTTTATTTGGGTCTTTTTTTTTCCCCCTTGGTGAGTCTAGCCAGAAGTTCGTCAATTTTATTTGTCTTTTCAAAGAACCAGGTCTTTGTTTAATTTTTTTCTAGTTTTGTTCTCTATTTCTGCTCTATTTTTTATTTCCTTCCTTCTACCAACTTTAGGCTTCATTTTTGTCCCTAGTTCTTTAAGATGAAATGTTTGGGTGTTTATTTGAGACTTTTCTTGTTTCTTGAGGTAGGCAAGATGATTCGTCCATTGCTGTCAATCAGGTATTCAGGTCCCCTACAATCATCGTCTTTTTTGTCAGTCTCCCCCTTTCTCTCTTTAGGTGTGTTAGGAATTGCTTCGCATATTTCGGTGCTCTCTTGTCAGGTTCATATATGTTGATAAGTATTATGTCTTCTTGATGAATTGTCCCCTTTATCATTATAAAATGTCCATCTATGTCTCTTGTTACGTTTTTGTCTTGAACTCTATTTTGTCTGATGTAAGTATAGCTACATCTACTTTTTCCCCGGATGCCATTTGCCAAGAGTATCATATCCTTCCCCTTCACTTTGAACTTATGTTTGTCTTTGAAGCTGAGATGAGTCTTCTGAAGGCGACATATAGCTAGGTCTCGTTTTTTAATCCGTCTTGCTATTCTGTGCTTTTTAATTGGTGAGTCCACTTACATGTACGGTGATTTTTGATATCTGAGGACTTTTTACAACCATTTTCTTTTGTTTTCTGATTGCTCTGTATCTCCATTGTTCCCTCATTTTTCTGTCTGCTATTTTATTTGTCTATGATTTTTTCCCTCTTTTTCCTCTTTTTTGTGTTATGTGCCTTAGCTCTGGATTTTTGTTTTGTGATTACCAGTAGATTTATGTCAAAAAAATTTTATCCATACAATAGTTCTTTTTCTTCAGATTGCATCTTCATTCACCTGTGCAAATTCAGTCCTTTTCCTCCTCCCCTTTTATGTTTTTGTCACAAATTATCCCTTTTTTTGCTATGTATTTATTTTCAAATCGTAGAACCTTTATGTTATAATTAAGCGTTTACTACCCTATTCTGAAACAGAGTTGCAATTTCCTACTTTTATCAGTCTGTTTGTCATCTTACTCAAAATTTTGCATGCTTTTATCTTTTTGTCTCAGGTAAAGGAACTTCTTTCAACATTTCTTGTAATGCAGGACTTGTGGTGGTAAATTCCCTTGGTTTTGTCTAGGAAAGCCTTTATGTCGCCTTTATATCTAAAGGTTAACTTCACTAGATATATTATTCTTGTCTGGTCATTTCCCTCTTTCAGTATTTTGAGTATTTAGTTCCACTCTCTTTTAGATTGTAAAGTTTCTGCTGAAAAATCCAGTGATAATCTAATGGAGTTTTCTTTGTAGGTTACAGTGTTTTTCCCCTAGATGCCTTGAGAATTCCTTTTTGTCATTAATTTTTGAGTTTTAATATAATGTGTCTTATGAAATGTCTTTTCCCATTGAGATAATTAGGTGTTCTGTTAGCATCCTGAATTTGAAGGTCTAGCTCTTTCCGATGGTTTGGGAAGTTTTTATCAATTATTTGTTTGGACAGGTTTTCTGTTACCTTCTTCCTCTCTTCTCTGGTATACTCATTATTCTTATGTTGCTCTTTCTAATGGAGTCAGATGGTTCTTGTAGAGTTCTTTCATTTTTTAAACTCTTAGTTTTTTCTCTTCTACCACCCGAGTTATTTCTAGATTTCTGTGTTTGAACTCACCCATTCTCTCTATCTGGACTGCTATATTTCCAATGTTCTCTAATTCTTCACCTCATTTATTGATTTCTTCGGCTCCAGAGAATGTCTGTTTGGTTGTTTTTTTTGTTTGTTTGTTTGTTTTGTAGTTTCAACATCTTTGGTAAACTACTGCTTTTGTTCGTTGATTTTATTCCCAAGCTTATTGTATTGTCTGAGTTTTCTCGCATCTTGGTGAGTTTTTCCATAACTGCGATCTTGAATTCTCTGTCATTTAAATCACAGTGTTCCATGTCTTTGGGTTCCGGAGACTTTTTTCTGAGCTACCTTGTTGCCTTGGATATTTATGGAACCTGATGGATTGTCTCTCTGCTTTGGCATTTGAGATAGTGATCTCTCCTTCTTTAGGTATTATTTTGCTCTTAACCCTTTTCTCATTTGCATTGGGAATACGTGCCAGCGGCGTTTGCAGCTGCAGCGTTTACCCCGAGATAACTCACGGATTATAGTTCTACCCTTGCCCCGAAAGTTTGCTGTGAAATATCTCGCTTTTATTATTTTCGCATGGCTCTAGTATAGCAAGTGTCTTTGGAAACAAATGACATCATTCTATTTATAGTATTCTGTTTTTAGTAGTTTGATCCTTGAAAATGTCAAATCCTAGAAAATGTAGCTTTCGAATGCCGGATGTTAAATGAACTCTGGCAGCGAGCTGCATTTTTTTTTTCTAAACGGGAAAAGGGTTAACAATTCGGCAGTTTGATAAGTAAAGGTCTTTTTTTTGTTCTCCAGTAGATGGCGCTATAGTGGGGGGAAAGGGTTTTGGGGGGGGGTGCTTTTTAGTGCAAGTTTTTGTGTTCTCTTACTTACAGTACTAGCATCTCTGGGATCTCAGTGATGTGGTGTTGCCTCCGTTGTGGAAAATGTCCCAAATTTCCCAAGGTGGTGGGTACCCTCCCCCGCTGTCCGGTGTGCCTCAGGGTACCCCGCCTTGGTGAGATAAGGTGGGCAAGGGGCTCTGGGCCCACCAGTTCCCAGCGCTGCTTCCTTGTAACCAGCGCCTGCCAGCCACGCTGTGCTCCCTGTGCCGCCCGTGGCACCTCTGCTGCCTCCACCAGGGTCCGCCGCGGTGTGTGGGTGCGGGGAGCGGGGTTTGCCAGTCTGCGGCTTTGCCTTCCTGCTGGTGGGAATGGTACCCACTAGCGTGTGGCCGCCGCACCGCTGTGCTGCGTCTCCACCCGCTTCGCCGGGTTTAGCCGCTACGCGCGGCGCGGGCTGCTCAGGCCGGAATGTTCCTCCTGCCTGTCAGGCGGGAACAGGCCACCTGCGTGAGGGCTGCAGCAGGCACCGGACTGCGCCTTCCGCCCTGTCCCCATCCCCGTCCCCGTCCTCCCCCCATCCCGCCTCCCGGGCTCATTCCAGCGTGTCCTCCTTCAGATGTCTCCGTGGGCGGACCTTTCAGATGTGTCTGTGTGCTGAGCAGAAGATGCTCCCTTGAATCAGTCGTTTGACTTGTAATTTAAAGGGAGCTACTAAGCGGGTCTTCTCACTGCCAGGGTGCCGACGTTCCCACCCCGCTTTCAGCCGCCATTTACAGACGGCTAATTTGTTTCCTCTGTAGCCCCATCATCGCCCCACCATCCCCCCGGAGAATTTTTAAATAAATTAACTCTAATTAGGACCAGTTCGGTGTCACACCTACTGCCATTAACTCAGTGCATTCAAAGGAGAATGAACGACAAGCGCAGAGGCCCATGGGGCGACCGGCAGAATCGCTGCCATGTCGCCCCCAGGAAAGTTCTGATCGACCATTTCAATTCACATCACTCCAAGTCTAATGAACATCATTAACTCTGAAGAAATGATGTTTTGGGCGCCGTTCATACTTCAGAGCGTCTGGGGGATCAGGCGTCCGCTGAAACCACCTCCTTGATCAAGCTGATTCTGAAGCCCTGTCTGCCTCCCTCCAACGTTCCATCAGTGTCCAACGTGTACTTGAAACAAACGTGGGTTTTCCGTTGACTGAAACTGAATACACACATCTATATTTCGACTTTTTATATAGGTCTGGCTTCCACATCATATAGAAAATCCACTGGGTCACATCCAAATTTTTAGTTTATTATAACCGCCATTACACACGAAGTTAATTTTTCAGAAAATAAAAAATATTTGGAAATTGATCTGAAAGTTCAGAACATATTAATTGGACAGAAATATAAACGAGTCCCAAAGGAAACAACCATAATAATACTTAATACTGAAAAAAGCAATTTTCCCTAACATAATTGATTTGTCTTTATTAATTCATGATTTAGTTTATTATAACCTCCATTACACACGAAGTTACTTTTTCAGAAAATAAAAAATATTTGGAAATTGATCCGAAAGTTCAGAACATATTAATTGGACAGAAATATAAACGAGTCCCAAAGGAAACAACCATAATAATACTTAATACTGAAAAAAGCAATTTTCCCTAACATAATTGATTTGTCTTTATTAATTCATGAACTCTTTCATATTTTTCTGCTACATTTTTGTACCACACCTGTAACAAGCAGAGAAGTTCCTAGCTATGGCTATGAGCACCCTAGAAGTTTCTGTAAATGTTTCTGTAATCAGAGGTTCATTGGCCCCACCCAGGAATCTCTGGGAGACTGGCAATGCCTGGATTCATCACAGGACAGATTCTCAAGAAACCTTCATCATCCTTAATTGGATTTGCAGGAGCAAAAAATGGACGCAGTGGCTCTGCAGTGGAAATTCTAGGGAATGTAAAAATATGGGACCCATCACCAACGTGATAAAAGGAAATGGTTCCCATATTCATATCCAGGAAGATCCCCACTCGATGAAGGCGAGGGTTAATGATAAGAACAGTCAAAGGCACGGTGCTGGCGGAGAAGATACCTGTGCTTCTCAAGCCCACAGTCCAGAAGCCAAGTTCTGAAGACAGCAGAATTATCCCTTGTCGATTAACAGATTCTTTGCAAATGCCCACGTCCCATTCTTTGCTTGTCCCCACCTCCACCTCCCAGTAGTGGCGGCCGGAGGTGAACCGAGAGGAGCCCAGGACACACACTGCATAGTTGAATCTCTCGGAATGAGCCCTCCACTTCTGCTCGAAACACCCACATCGGACCTGTCTCAGGTCCTTGGAAATGACGAGATACTTGTTTGCTGTGTCAGTATCCAAGGTCATCTGCACTGTGGATAGAAAATCAGATCGGCATGTGGATACACTGGAGACTACTAATTCACGCCGGCTGCAAAAGCCCAAACGGCTCATTCGTTCGCTTTCACGCCCTTAACTCCACACGTTTTTTCTAATTAGAATTTTCCCGTGGCAGCCTCCCTGGCCCCTGATTAGATCAAATTTTATATAGAGAAGCAATGATTATCATTGGAACTAGTTCTTATTCATAATAGGTCTTTTTTTTTTTTACATTCAGTTATTCAATTAAAGATTTTTCTTTAGTATGTAATACACGTGAAAAAGATCATGACTTGTTCTCGGAGTTAAACAGATTAGCACAGATTCTGTCCAAATATAGATATCAAATAAATACTTTGAATGATGGAAAATATTTCACTTATTGCAAGATAATATCGAAATATTAAAGTTTTTCTTTTTTCTTTTTTGCAATTACCTTCCTTGAATAGGCCTTCGCATTTTGGGCCTTTTCTGTCCTCGAGTCGTAATAAATGAAAAGAAATGCTGAGAGTCCTGAGATGAGGCGGGTGGACTCCGGGCCGTTGAGATAGAGAAAAAGTTCTCAGTAGGGATATGTTGGGATTTTGGCAGCGGCTTGGACCCAGCACTCAATGGGGCGGTACTCAGAGGGGTAGAGAAATTGGAGTAGAATGTCTATGTGTATTGGCAACATTTTCCAGCACCCCTAGTTATGAGGGGGTGGTCTAGCATCCTGACTTTAGCACATGAGACATGCAACTGGGCTGTGATAATTCACTCAACCCGGCGTGCGAGACAAAATCAAGCATGATTTCTCAGTTCCGGGTCGGGGAGGGGCAGGTGCTCAGTTGCAGAGCCTGCGTCAAGGTCTAAACCCACAGGCGCTCTCGCCACCCTTCGCCTGGGAAACGCGGCCCACAGTCACTGTGGACTAGAGTCACCTGGGGGCTTCTAAACATTGCAGCGTCCCGGGCCTCACTGCCAGAAGCCCACAGTCACTGTGGACTAGAGTCACCGGGCATTGCAGAGTCCCGGGCCTCACTGCCAGAAGGGTCCGATTCAGTGAGTCAGGGCCTTGCTACTCAAAAGTGCGGTCCGAGAACCGGCAGCATGAGCACCACTAGAACTTCTGTCAGAAATCCAGATCCACAGCCCGGCTCCGTGCCATGATGCAGAGTTCGCATTTAAACCAGACGCCCGGGAATACGATCAAGTTTGAAAATCAGTATCCCAGGCTGGTGTTGCCAGAGGAAATGGTGCGAGCCAGAAGTGCAGTGTAAGATTTTCTTACAAACACATTTAAAAACTAATACGAGTCAGGTAGAACTGTTTTTTTTTTTTTTTTTTTTTTAGGCGAGGCAACTCTTGGTTGACCTCACAGATTGCAAGGACCTTGTCAGTTTACAACCCCTTATTTTTTTTATTTTTTATGCCTACAGCACCTGGTCTTTCTAGGTGGTCTCCCATCCAAGTACTAACCAGGCTTGACCCTACTTAGCTTCCAAGATCAGATGGGATCGGACCTGTTCAGGGTAGCATAGCTGTAGACAGAACTGGCTTTTACTAATACCTTTTAAAATCCAGTATATCCGAAATCTGATTTCTACTCTTTACTTTCAAGAGATCAGTAGCTGCCGACAGCTACTGGGAATATTGGATAGCGCAGGTCTACGGCATGACCTAATTACATTTTCTTAAAGACCTACACATGGTTCTAATTTATACTTACAACTGTTGCTAGGAAAGAATAAAAATTTCAGGTGTCAGAATCCAGCTAATGTCCATATTTAATGGAAAGCTTTGAAAAGTCGCTGCTTCCTGGGCTCTAATGGGCGGGGAGAGGTTGCACAGATGTCTTACCTTGGAACTTCCGTATCCTTGGGTTCATCTGCAGAATCATTCTGAGCTGGGGCTCTAACTTCTTGACCTTTGACACCAGCCTGCCAAGCTGGCAATTGGGCCTGATTTCCTTCTTCTGAGAAACCATGGAGCAGAAGGGGCACAATAAACCCTCTCCACCGGGCTCCTTCAGCAGCGAGTTGATGCATTGCAGGCAGCAGACATATCCACATTTCAGGGTCATGGGGTTTTCAAAATAAGTCAGGCAGCTGGGACATCTACATGCTTCTTTAAAGTAGTTGGCCATGGCCACTGTCTGGGAAAAAATGTGCACTATATTGGACTTTTCACGAGTTCAAGGGACTCATTAGTCCTGGGACACTGTCCTCTTCACATGCAGTGATTTGCAGTCACTACTACTAGGTAATGAAGATATAATGTCAGTACAATTATAAGTGACTCATGGCTCTGAATTTCTGATGTTTAAAATGCCAGTTGGAATGAAGGACGCTATTCATCCTCGGGCTCTAAGTCAGGCGGTGAGGGGGTCTATGCTATGCCCGAGCTGTCCAATATGGCAGCCACCAGCCCCATGTGGCCAATGAGCTGCTGAGGTGGGGCTTATCGATTTTGAAATACATTGTGAGTGTGAGATGCACATTCAGCTTTGAAGACCTCACCAGAAAGAGAATATAAGCTATTTCCCCGCGAACCTTCAAAAACTGATTATGTGTTGAAATGATCACATTTTACCTACTAAAATTAATTTGATTGGTTTGATTTTACTAGAAGATGAATTTACAATTACATCTGTGGGTCGCCTTATATTTCTAGGGGACAGCTCTGGTCTAGGCCCAGAAACTCTTCAAGTCCCCCAGCTGACCAAACTGGATGTGGCAAAAATCTGCAACAGAACTTAAAAGGTGGAATAAGTCAGCGGCTGACAACCTATTTTTCGTCTCACGATCGGAATCAATTCAGGATAATGAAGACTACGTTATTTCTCCAACCTGTTACTGAAAACCTAAATTCTGCCTACTGCTCCCACCACAGTGTGTCCCGGGGTATACACACTGTGCCTGACATTTGGTTGGCCTCAGCGCCTCCCAAATTAATAAATGACTCCATTCCCAAGACCTTGCCTTCTCACATCTGCCTTTTGTAGAAATTTGGAAGTAAAGATGAAATCTCATAGGGTTGGCTCACCTGTCCTCTACCGGGTCCTCTGCTGGCCTCCGGCTGCCTTCTTGGAAGCTCAGTTCTCAGGAGTGAGAACACCCACGAGGGGCTTTTATAGACTGGGGTTCCTCCGCCCACCTCACTTAGGTCCTGCCTCTCCTGCTTAATCCAATCAGCTCTTGATTGAATTCTCGCATTAATGAGATTTTTCTCATGTCCTAGAAAGATTACCACAAACAAAGGAGATAATCATATATGAAAGTTATTTTTGAACTAAAATGAACAAAATATCACCATAGTTATTTTGCAATTAAGTTAAAAAATATCACCAAAGTTATTTTTGAACTAAAATGAACAAAATATCCCCATAGAATCATTCTAGATTAAATCTTGAACATTATGTCTGTTGATAATAAGAATTGGAATTAGGATTGAAATCTTTTTAAATTGTCACTATTAATCCTTCTAAAATGAATGGGACTAGTTTGTCGAAAATGGTTTTTTGATCATGAAAGTAAAATTTCACATTTTGATCAAGAAAATTAATTCAACCCACTCAGAAGCCTTTCCTAAAATCATACTCATTAGACCACAGTCCTGTCTTCAAAAGGGCGTTTTAAAAACGCGAATGTCTTTGTTTAGAAGTTTGCTAAAGAAACCGAAAACGATTCCTTGAGAATAGTCAGCCAGTGAAGTTTTTTGTTAGTTATGGAAAAAAAAAAAAGATATTTTAAATCATATTACTATTTTCCTTCTATCATAACATATACGCAATGAAAAACATGTCTTGTAAACCATATTCAAAAATGTTCCTCCTAGTTTTAGATGAGGGGGTAGAATAAAAAACTGGAGAGGGAGGATTGGTGGTTGGGGTGAGAGGGGTTAAACTAGACTTAGGCGATTAAGTTAAAAAAGCTCTCATTTAATCATTTCCACAGTAATCTTTTGCCGCTGTTTGCTGGATGCTCTTAGCATTTCACAGCCAAAGAAAGGCTCATCCCCAGTTCTCGAGTCCTTTTGTCTCATTAAGGCAAAACAAAAAACATGTGTTCGTATTCGTGTGACATTTTTATTTATCTGATGATTTTAACAAGCTTAAATGATTTTACAACTCCTTCTAGAATGTTTTCACATCGCTGGGAGTACTTATCCTCATGTCTGTGGTTTCACTGACTCTTGCTCACGAAAAATTCATTCCTAACGAGTTTTCCGTTTATTTATGGAGCAGATCATGAAGCAGGGCTTATGCTCTCTGGGACCACCAGGTGATCTCTGTGTTGGAAAAGGCCGATCCCTGTGATTTGATTTCTTCAAAATATCCTTCAGCCTGGAATGGCGTCGCTTGAGTTGGGAATTCTTCTCTTAAGGAGAAAAAAAGAGCAAATTAGGTTTCCCTGCCCGCTGGAGGGGCAGACCCAGGGTGTTGGTTATCTATAGTATTTTTTTTTTTTCAACTGTAACTTTGGACAGAGAGACTCTGGCTGCCTCCCCCGGGACAGTGAATGGTACAACTCTCCTTACCTTCTGTGGCTGGCAGTCCAGCACCTTGAGTCCTCGCTGTGTGAGGGACCCTGCATTTCAATATCCCACCTAGTGGGGACAAATTCTCCCAATTGCTTTCCCTTGCGCACAGTTCCTCTCTCTCGAGAAATGATGATCAACAATGACAAAAATATTATCTCTCAATAGTAAAATGTAATCCTTTTGAGTTCTGGTTACTAATTTGCCTAAATAATTTTTCGAATCATTGAAATACCGATGGCAGTTTCACTTCAGAATCACCAGGTCTAATGTTTCCTTTGTTTTCACGATAGCCTCAAACTGGCCATTTAAATCTTTTTAGTTGTGTGCATATAATTTTAAGAATGTTATTCGAAAGATAAGAACTTCAAGTTGTCATATTTTTACACGATTTGATATCAAGTAAAAGTTAACTACGTCATCAGAAATCGTCTTTTCTGTGGTTTGCATATCTCAAAAAGCGTTTCTTATGGCTGATACTTCTCAATGTTGCTTTTACCTATAGAAGATAACTTATTTTATACATAAAATTATAAATGGGTGTTGTACTACTTTGTACGTATTTGTGGACCATTCATCCTTGACCATTAATCAACTCAATGGTGTGAACATTATTCATTTTGATTTAACTGTGATCGATGCTTAAAATCTTAAAAGATAGGAGTTTTAGGCTTTGCTAAAACAGAGGATACGATTTATTGGAACTTTTGATGTATCTTTTAATTATATTATACTTTGGGGCAAATTATTTTGAAAAGACAGGTGATTGTCTCGCCTGCTTCCGGGTGATTTTAGGACAATTTCTAGTATTTTTTTTAAAGAAGAAAACAAACTTATGGAAATAATCTTTGCAATCACGGACGAAAAGCCTTTGGTAGAAACGATCGTGCCCACTGAGCAAGCTTTTCTTATTTGTCTTCATGTAAATGTGAAAAGATTTGTATTCCTTTTATCGGCAACCGAACCTGGGGACTATATTTCCCATGAACAGATGTTATTCCCTTACTACGTGATTAAAGACCCCACGGCGTTCCCCTCCCCGGTTTCCCGGGCACCTAGGAGGCGTGGCCTGTGCCGGGGTCTGCCCACTTTGGCGCTATTAACGTTTTAGCGTGGAAGGGTCTTTGTCATGGAAGCCGTTTGGTGAGTTGTAGGATGTTTAGTGGCATCATGGTCTGTACCCACTAGATGCCAGCAGTACTCCCATCACCCCAGTTGTGAAGACCAAAGGTGACTCCAGATATTGCCAAGCATTTCCTAGTGGGAACAAAATCATTCCTCAGTGAGAACCGCTGGAAACCAGTATAATGTGTTTCGGCTAACTGCAAATATCTTTTCAGGGTTTAGCATTCTGCTTTGTGCCATAATTAAGTGAAAACGATATTGGATTAAAAGGGCACGGCAGGGTGTGAAACATCAGGGGAGAACCCCACACCCCAGAACCCAACTCTCTGTGCAAATCAGGAGAGTGAGTTCTAAATAAACTTACTTTAAAAAATGTGCTCAGAGTTCTAAAAATGAGCTGGGAGATATCTAGAGGGAGAATTATGACACCCATAATTAAATTTTTATGGGCAGAATAGAAACTACGCATATGCACTTGTGAGCATAGATTTAAATTTTAACACCCAGATTGAAGAAATGGATTATTCCATTATTTTCAAAAATCAAATCGCAACAACCTGGGTTGTCCAATCCAAATTTCTGGAATGGAAATAATCTGTAACTGTGCTATCTGATATGGGAGCCACAAGTTCCAATGAACCACTGAGCATTTGAAGCGTGGCTGCTGACACATGTAGAAATGATAGCATGTTGGATATCGTGGCTTAAATAAAATAGATTAGTTAAATTGATTTCACCTTTTCCATTTTCCTATTTCTAATGTGTTTTAGAAAATTCAAAATTGCTTATGTGTCCTCTATTCTATATCTACCTTCTAATGATGAAGAAGGTGGGAGATTGTGTGGCCCTCAGACACCTTAAATTTCTGGGCTGTGCTCCAGATTCATGCCCGCCCCCCTCTCCCAGGAGGGACAGCAGGGGGACTTAGCACTCTCATGTCTGGGCCCTTCTTACCCCTCAGCTCATGGCCAGTGATAGTTTGTCTTTTATTCCAACTTGTTTTTCGCATGTCTTTAGGTTTGGACTGTCACCGTCATACTTGGGTGTTCATTGATTTGCAATGGGAATAGCATATAATCAGGACACATGAACTCTTTGCATTGTTAAGGTAAAAGATTTACATCAAACATTCTTTGTCCCTGTGCCCAAGTCTGAAGGGCATCCCGTACAGACTGGCAGAAGAATCTGTTTTTGTTTTCCATCTTCTCACAAGATAGCTGACCATTCACCCTTGACCTTTAATCACCTCATTAATGTGAACATATTTCATTTTGATTTAACTGTGATAGACTCGTGGGGAAGAAAAAAAAAAATCTCTGTAATTCTTTTTGTGGCCAAGAGGTCGATTTGGGAAAGGACAACTGAGCAGAGGGAAAAAAAACGAAGCTTGGTATTTAAAAAATGACTCTATCTCGTGTATATTGTATTGCTGCTCCCTTCCATCTTTCAAAAATGTTTACTGATTAAGCAATTAACTGCAATGAGGCAGGA